GTGCGTCATCTACTGCTACCATTCCAGTTTCTCCCTCACTAAAATTGAACTGTATCCGCATTGTGTAAGACAATCGCTTTGATCGCCATACTTGTCCTAAGGATCAATAGCATAACGGCCTATGGTATATAGCTTACAGCTTAGGTCATAGAAGCTATGAATGGCCTCCTCTTGAGCGATCTGTTAAGCAGAAGTTACATCACATCAAGGCCTCAGTATATAGCTCAAGTATGTTGACGTTTGCGCAACTTAAGCTACTTGGATACAGCTGGGCGAATTGCAGGTATTTTACATATTTTTATCAAATTGCACAACAAAAAATGTGTGTATATACTAAGAGCCTAGAATAAAAAGCTTGATAAAAAATCTTCAGCCGGTACAATCTATCGAAGCGGTTCATTACGTTATACCACGCGGATTGTAAATTGTACCATACCAAAAACCATTAGATTTGCATTGTTAATGGAAGCGATATGTCAAACCAAATGGCATGATGAATTAATCGCTTTATTTATCCAACTTACATATAAATATCATAAATTAGAAACCTACATATTTTAAACAAAATATTACCTAACGAATTAACTTAAATTATCAGTATTAATAGAAGTTAAGCAAAATAATCACGATGGATAAAACAAAACCATTAGAATAATAAATAAAGATACGTATTTCTTTAATTTAAGCACGAAATCATCAACAATATGCTCTACAATACAATCCAGTATATTTTAACAATCCTCCACAAGACATTTCAGTATAATTTAACTATCCAAATGGTGGTATAAATTGCCAAATGGGTATGATTGACAGCAACTCGTTAATTTCTTTTTGATCAGAAAGGGTGGGGTCAAATAATGATCTATCCAACATTTTGTAAAATAATTGATGAATGCGAAAAATACCTACCACCCCAACTACCAGCCAGCGATTACTTTTATACAAAGGCTTATCTACGATTGTATATTTATTACAGGGGGACACGTTTTACAGAAAGCAACAAATTTTAACTTTGAAGAATAGACCAACGGTAATACATTGAGGGGGGTACAATTTAAAAACCGGTAGAATATATCCAACTTTCCTTTACAGGTGTACCATAAAGTGCTTTTCAAAGTGACAATTATAGCGGTCAGATCGCTATTTATGTCATTTAATGGCCTCTATAGGTGTAAAGTACTGGATCACAAGATGCAGCAACTCTTTCGTAAATCTAAATAGATAGTACCGGCAAAAGATTGTATCGCTCTAGTACAAAGGTCAAAACTGCTACACTGGGAGTGAGACGCACTAGCTCCATTGATGTGCTATCAAAGAAATCAGTCAGGGAAGAAATACCTATAAATGAAAATACGTCATAAACTGCTATAATATGAGGATTAACTTCAGAAGCATCCTGAACACAAAATACGATCATAAATTCAATGTTTACCCGTATAAGCTGTGAAAAAGCCTTTATATATTAGTCTCGTTGAACAAAGAGCGTATCCCTATATAAAATCCAGCTAGAGCGGAAGCTTTTAAATACAGTCGCTGCCCGTTGGAAATTAATTTTTTTCGGAAGTTGGGATCACATAAAGCAGCTTTACTGTTAAAAAATGCGTGAATATCAGTACAAAAGGACCCGGTTCTCGGTGGAAAAGTGGCGTCAAGTAGGTTGACTCTGCACTTCTCACGCAACGCCGTCATCAGTTCATAAAAGATTATGCCCAGCAAGAGGTGGACACTCTGAGGAGGTAGCTACGAACACGCACTACAAGTAAATTGAAACGGACCAAGTCCGATAAACAATCCATTCCTGTTCCATACTTGACCCCATGATGCCTTAGGTGCGGCATCGCATGCTATACTCGTAATAGAGTCGCATTAAAGTGAAAGAGCGGAAGCAGAGACGCATACTGAAAACATTTATCTATTCCAAGTATTATGTACGATGGCTGAAGTATATCTAATAAGTGCGTAGAATCACCGAGGTTGGGGGTGTATGGTTATATAACCCGCAACTTAAACCTTTTCAAAAAGTTTTCTGAAAATGATCAGGAGCCTCTAAAATGCCAAAAAACGAAGTTTGAGTGATTTTTATATTTTTAGTTTTCTGCCCCCAGCTCCGATTTTCAAAAAGTACAAAGCTTGTTTGTCCTAGACCTATTAGTAACCTTGAATAAAAATTCCATCAAAAACCGAGCAGTACTTCCCAAATTATAGACAGGTTATGGTTTAGCGGACAGACAGACAAACCGACAGTCGGACCGACAGACATGAGTGACATGGTTTTTCAAAAAGCATAGAAACTCATTTTCGGAATTTTTCGCGATTACAATACTTCCTCGCCAGTAGGCATGGGAAGTAAAAGGCAGAAAAATTGGGACTACCAAACAAATTCGAATTACAGTTATGCCTATCAAAATTACCTTGAGTATTGAAACTTATCCAGAAACTGCCAAAAACCATATAACATCAAAAAAAGATAATGTATCATATCCAACATTTGAAGGAAATGGCATGGAAAAAGTTACATTGTAACTTCAGGACATATCTCGCACGAAGAAGACATTGTATTCTTGACCAGTTTGGCCAACCTAACAATTCTTTATGATGAGATATCAATATTTACTCTGAGTTTCGACTTTATTCCTGAATCATGGGTGACTGAATTTCGTATCTTTTCACGGGTTTAAATGGACTATAAAATACTACGTAAGTTAGATCATATATAATAAAAAAGTTGGCAACCTGTTTACGTACATGGTGAGTTTTTAGTGTGAGCTCGGCCGATAACTTTTCATGGTATCTGAAAAAGTTAATTACACACATTGAAACTATCACTAATGCTCGTGACTTAGAGCATATTTTTATCTCTACACGGTGATTCATAACTATGTGCTGAGCCAAACATATATTTTTTAAATGGAAAGCATATTTGGATAGGCCCTTTCAAACAAAAAGATTTGATAACGCATACTGTAGTAGGTACTTTATTTTCAAATTGATATTGAACGGTCTACTGAAAAAAAAACACTAAACTCGCGTCTCCCAAGGAGATAGAGTAGTATATTCCTCTATATAAATAGAGTTTTGTATATTTTTTACTCGGGCCAAAATTGGCCATCTTCACGTTACTGGAGGGCAAGTCAAAAATCATACCGGGATCAATTTCGTTTTATGAAGAGAACCTAGGGAGACATGACCTTTGTAAAATCATGAATTACTAGGTGAAACGGTTCGTTCTGGAGACGCGGGTAAAGTTAGAAGGTTTTGAAAAATATGAATTTTAGCCTTTTTGGCAACATTTCCGTTTTCTCGCTACTCCTGTTATTGGAACGCATTAAGCCCCACTACAGAAGCATTACTGCCCGGAGAATTCAAAAATCGCCTCCTAATTGCGATATGATAATTCGTTCGGCAGATATTTCAGTCAAAAGAAATTTTTTCGAAATTTTATAATGGTTAATTAGGCTGAAAACTCGAATGCCTTCAGAGACAAAAAACACCGCAAAATTAATGTTATTTGCTCACACAGAACATACCATTTTCAACATGCTGCAGATGGTATATGGATGTTTTTTTATATTGATTCGATTATAAAAAACTAATACAACAGAGTACAGTGTTTCCAAGGCGAGCATTACGATCTCAAAACGGTTAGAGTTCCAAAGTTGCGTAACATAAATACCTTTCACAATCAGCTTATGAAATTGAATACGAATTCATTTTAGCGCAACTTTAGAATCAATGAACACTATCTATACCCTATTCGTCGCCCATTTACGGCACAAGTGCAGGATTCGACAGGATAGGCTCGGGGTGTCGCCGGCACGGCGACGCCAGCAGATGCTGTTCATGTTCGGTGCATACATTGCAAGTGTTTATACGGATACAGCAGATGAAACTGAGAATATTTCTCCAATGCTTCCTTCAGCCATGCTTTTTCTTCAGTGATGTATCCTCCCAGAAAACGTGATGATAAGGGACATTTGAGCATTCAAGCAAAAGATATTGTCTTTAACGTTTATAAGAGCGAAATTTTAATGCATCCTGGAATGAAAATTCATGATATTGGAAGACGTGTGGCGAACAAAACAGGCTTATGTCCTAAGACAATTTTCAACATTGTTGAAGAATATACCTATAAGAAAAGATAACTGTCTCCACCACACAAGAGGCTGCATTCCACGAAGCTGTTGGATACAGATGATAACTTTGATCGGAATGCTATCAGGCGCAAGGTCCCTCAATTTTTTGAAAGGCAAAAACTTCGTACCATAGACAAAGTATTACAGGAGGTTAATAGTGATGAAGACTTACCTACTTTCAAAAGGACCACATTCTATAGTTTACTCAGAGAACTTGATTTTGAGTATAGAAAACGAGACAGAAATAGTATTTTGATGGACAGCCAAGATACTGTTTTATGGAGAAGGAATTATTTAAAATCGATAAAGACATACCGCGACCGTGGCGGGAAGATTTATTATTTGGATGAAACCTGTATAAATGCAGGACATACAAAACCTAAAGTATGGGCTGTCTCTACAATTAATCAACAAGACAAGCCTTTTTAGATGGACTAACCACTGTGGCTTCAAACAATAGAACATCCAAAATTTTTGACGTCACAAAATTTGTTTTATGATGACTGACGGCAAACCATTGGAAAGATTGCATCCGTCACGTTCAAGAGACAATCGAATCAAAGATGTGGGATCTGAACAAATGGTGTGATCGACATTCAAATTGAACATGTGATAATTAATATTAACCATTATAACGATGAATCAAGTACTTCAGCAAATTTAGAATTGTGAAAAGAATGTGCACTTCTTTCTATAAAAATAACCATTTATTCTGTTAGATTAGTCCAAGACCATTGAGGAAAATACGGACGTGTACAATCTTGCTTTTGGCCATGTTGTGTTTTGTCTGGGCGTAAATGGACTACAAATGGGGTATAGTGCACAGGTTTGTAGAAATTTTGAAAATAGATTACAATGGTAACTCACCTGCCGAACTTATTGGCCACCATGCCACCCCCGAACCCTCCTAGCATGCCCCCGATGGCGAATATGGAGACGGCTATCGAGTACAACCGCTCCACGGAATCGTTGTCCAGGTCCTCGCCGTACCGCTGCTTGTACAGGTCCTTCATGAAGTCCTCGATGTTCCCCTGAGGCGCATTTATCACGCCAGTGTTGTACCCGAACTGGAACATGCCCAACACTGCCGCCAAAATGGCGTACGACAGAAAGAACGTCAGACCCTGAAACAATTTTTTCCATATTTAAACTATGAAAGAGAACTATCATATAGACCAGTGGCTTTGAGAAATAGAAAAAAAAAACAACACTATCTCATAATGTCTCGAAAAAGCATATTCTAAGGAGGGACCGCAAATGACAGTTTTACCACTCAAGGACAAAGTAGGAAAAATGCTCGCCAATAGTTGCGGTCGGATAGACTATGGAACGCTTTCATGTTGCCAGATTGCAAGATGTGGTGATATGGTATACAGGGTGATGATGTGCTAATATTCCGGGATATGATTCTCCCAATCATATGAAGAAAAGTTTATATGAACATATGTCCGCAGCGGTCTAAATTTTTGGCCACAGGGTCTGAAATTTTTAAGAAACAAACGTTTTAACTATATATCTTTTTCTGCCCTTACTATGGATGTGAATTATGACGAAACGTTTTTTTGACGAATTCGTTCGAATAAACATCTGTTTTCCAATGAGCGTCTTCACATTGGCAGTGACTAGCACGTCAGAATATGCACGCTGTCGTCAGAACTATTTGAGCGATTGTTTTGTATGACCCGTGTCTGTTTTTGAATTCTTATTGATTATTTCACCATGGACAACGTTAAATTATTAACTCGCTTGTACGACGACATATTACTGTAGGATGCGAGATGCAACTATCACCACAATAGAGATATTCATCCTCAAATATCTAAGAAAATTGCTACAGAAGTGGACATTACCAGTAAGCATTTTTTATTCTGGCTCCATTTATTGCACTTCTCCTCAAAATAATTTTGCGGTTGGTACAGCAATTCTACAAATAACATTCCATACTACTCTTTGTTGTCACTACTAACGGGTGATTTTTTAAGAGGCATAGGATTTGATTTTAAAAAAAAACACAAAATATTTGAAAAAATGATTAACTCTTTATTTGAGTCGAAAGAACGGTCGATATAATTTAATGTTTAAAGATTATTTCATGTAAATGTTGGCCGCGGCTCCGCTTTAGATGGCCCATGCGCAAGGTCCAATTTTGGCACACTCTCTCCAACATATCGGCCGGTATCTCACAAATAAATGCTTCAATATTGGCCTCCAGTGCGTCAATCATTGCTGGTTTATTCCTGTAGACATTAGCCTTAACATGGCCCCACAACAAATAGTCCAACAGCGTTAAATCACACGATCTAGGCGGCCAATTGACGGGCCCCAAACGTGAGATAAACTGTTCACCGAACTCGCCTCTCAATAGGGCCATTGTTTCGTGTGTCGTGTGGCATGTGGCACCGTCTTGTTGAAACCAGATGTCAGCCAAGTCCAGCTCTTCCATTTTGGGCAAAAAAAAGTTTGTTATCATCGCACGGTAGCGCTCGCCATTCACAGTTACGTTCCGGCCATTACCGTCTTTGAAGAAGTACGGTCCGATGATGCCACCGGCCCATAATCCACACCAAACAGTGATTTTTTCGGGATACATTGGTAGCTCTTGCAATGCTTCTGGCTGGCCTTCACTCCAGATGCGACAATTTTGATTGTTAACGTACTCATTCAACCAGAAATGAGCTTCGTCGCTGAACACAATTTTTCGATAAAAATGTGGATCTTCCTCCAACTTTGCCAGCGCCCATTCACCAAATTGGAAACGTTGTGGGAGGTCGTGTGGCTTCAATTCTTGCATCAGCTGTATCTTATAAAGTTTTACACCCAAATCCTGTAGCAAAATTTTCCACGTAGTAACACAGGCCCAATTGCTGCGAACGGCGGCGAATCGACATTTCACGGTCATCACTAACACTGGCGGATACAGCCGCAATATTTTCTTCAGATCTCACTCTACGTCTGCGTGTTGGTGGTTTAATGTCCAATAATGTAAACTGGGTTCGAAATTTAGTCACAAGCTTCCGTATAGCTCCCTCAGTAGGCCTACCAAATTGCCCATAAATTGGAAGCAGTGCTCGATGCACTCTCTTAACCGAGCATGAATTCAATAATTTGCAAGCATTGTTCGTTCGCAAGTCGATTCATGGTTAAATTATGGACCAAACTGAACCAATTTTATCAATGACACAAGACACGATTCATGCGTCATCTGTCAAAAACAGTGTTGCCAAAATATACTAGCAAAAAAATCACCCATTAGAAAATGAAGAATTGATATGCCCCAACAACAGTAACACCAACGAAATTCAGGCAAGTAAAATTCGTCAGAAACGACTATCAAAATGTCAGAAAACGCGCACGGTGTAACTGCCTTGTTCTGACGAGGATGTCGCTCGTACTCGTCGGAACATGACATAATTTAGTGTGAAAAGTAATTCTAATGCGTCACTAGTGGCGTCCTCGTAAGCATAATACTTTGATATTTTATATAAAAAAATGGTACGCCTCTGATATTTCTCAAAGTAGATATATCTCTCTCTCTTTCTATCTCCACCTAAGGTGCTCCATTTTTATTGAAATGACAAACTTGAAACTGCTAATAGTCACATTTGAAAGTATCAGTAGTGTACCAATTTTTTAGTAAGATATACCACAAGCCAAATGTGCGGGGACGCCACCGCAAGCGGATAACTTTTTATACTGAAATATGTCACTTTACAATCCTTCTTGCTTTTAGAGCTGAAAGACAATAACAATAATAGACACCTTTATTTATCTACAATTACAGTGTAGAGCCAAATGTCTGACCTATATCGCGAAGTTTAGCATGCTGCTACTCTCGATTAGCTGTGGCAGAGACTGTGGCGGACGGTGCAACGTGGATAGTCTCCTTCACATCATATCCCACACATGTCCGATGGGATTTAAATCCAGTGGACGAGGTGGTCACGGGAAAACATTAACGCCTGCTTCTTGAAGAAAGTCCGTAGTACGACAAGCAATATGGGGACGTGCGTTGTCTTGCTGAAAAGGGACGTGTGGACGGCCCTCTAGATATGGCATTAAAGTCGTTTGTAGGACATCATTAACATAACGCGCAGCAGTCATATTGCCTTGAACAAAGAGAAGGGGTGATCGGCTACCATATGAAATAACCCCCCAAACCATTATTCCAACAGTCCTGTGTACATGCCTTTCGACAACAAATCCAATATCACGCTGTTCTCCACGGTAGCGCCTTATTCTTCTACAATCGTACGTACCTAGACAGAATCGCAACTCATCGCTGAAACACAGTTAAACATTGACATTGTTGCCATGTCATGCCTTAAATGTAGTCATTATGCCAAAAAATCAAGTTGAAGAAATATTTTTTTGAGTTCAACATTTCTAATGCCATTTTAGCCGGTGGAAAATCTCAATTTACGCGGCCAAACACTTCACATTGGCTGTAGAAATTTCCCAAATATGGATTTTTTAATAATTGCCTGGGTCGGATACCCCGTAGCATAGATCAAAAGGATACTGGGCGGTAAACCAGTGAAAAATTGTTTAATAATCTTATTGAACAGAAAAATGGTGTTTGTGCTCCACATAAGGTATTTTTAGGTTTGTTTGATTTTCGAGTTATAAGAGATTTGAAGTCTGAACAACCCTCAAAATGGCCACTTCAGTGGCCAAAAGCTTCAAGAAGCCTTGCCCGAAGCAAAAAAGATCTCGGTTTATTTTTGTTGAACGGCATCCGGCAAACGTTATTAGAAGGAAAAATCGAATTAGAAAGTGGCCTGTTTCAGCCAGAAAATCGTGGAGATTATTTGCTAATACTAGCTGCGCCATGATCCTATCTATGTATGTCTACCATACACAACTAGTAGTTTGGAGCTCGCCGGATTTTAACTTCAGATTTAAAAGTCGCCTAGAAATCCCTCTTTATAGTATTACATTCTTCTATCGGGCGTTTATTTACAACTGTATCAAAATATTCAATATGTGGACATTTGAAAACTCGGTAGATATTCCGAAAAAATAAGCCAAACAGCTTCTTCTATATCGTTAGAGTTATGTTGGCAGATTGATTTAGTTTATTACTTTATCTCATTGTATTTTGCTTTTTATCTGTACTTTGTCATACTATCTCATAGTTAACTTCGTTGTCTTTAATACATATTTACAGATTTTTTAATATGTAGTTTTGTAAGCTTGAGAATGTTCATATGTCTATATTCTCTTTAGTTGCTGATACTGCTATTGAGTAGGCTGAGTTGAACATATTTATCTAGACCTCGCCCATAAGGAATGAGATGTGATATACATTTGTATTCCAATAAAGACCTCTTATTGTTATTGGCTGGCTGTCGTTATACTACGAAGTTGATGAAAAATGAACTTTGAAAATAGTGAGAGCCTGCTAAAGTTCTATATCAGTTGTCTATCCAAGAAGATACTTTCAGCCATCCCATGTGCGCACAATTTCTTACAGCAAACTTCGACTGGTGATAAGCTCAGCATTACTTTCAGTGCTCTTGTTAGTCTTGTCACTCTAAGGTCTAAGGCATGTCTAAGACTGTTTTACGTAATTTATTTGTAGTTTTTTGACTGGCTGTTGACATCTTAGTCATCTAAATGTGACTAAGCAATTTGATTATGCCATGAACCATTGAATTATTATCTTTCGACATTTGCTGTATACCTCGTTGCACCAAAATGCTGTCGTTGACGGTTCCAACTAATTATATCAGCATCGTGTAATAGACTTTGTATATCAAATTCTAAAAGCCAGCCGAGCAACGGCGTTTATCAGCAACATCGAACGTCCGTACTTCATATTCTGTTAATTGAAATAGAACTTCAAAGATTATTATTTCTGTTTTCGAGCCAAGATCTCATCATGGAGAAATTGTAAGCTACAAATACAGCATCTTTACAGCTAGAGCGTTATTTCCAAGAACTAGATGAGGTAGTGTTCTTCCAAATATGAATTCAGATATGCGCATTTCACGTAGGTTATATCGAAGACAGACATCAAACTAGGATTGTCAAAACATGCTTTCGCTTGCTCCACCACAGACAGCCAGCCATGATCAGCTGTTTGGTGCTTTTTGTTAACTCATCAGCAAGATCTGGGCTTGGC